TTAGTGGTTGTATAGGTTCCTGGATATCCATACGTAGATACAGTGCATTAATCAGAAAGATATTTCGTGGTTTTCTTACCTTGCTTAACTCATCGAGCGTACATTTACAGTTGTCAACAACCGACGACGCGTACTAAAGCGAATTGTTCAGTCTTTGTCAATGCGTGAAACAGCCTACCGTGTGTCAGGTGAACACTTCAGATATCGTCGGAGTGTTGGAAGAGCGAGGACTGCTGCCGTTCGACGGACTATATGACGTGTTCAGCTGGTTTCCGGCTGACATTCACCGCGGGTGCACAATGACAGCGTGCTATTCATACCATGGAGGAATGTTCATGCTGCCTTTCTACATGTACATGTACACATGCATGTACACGAGCATGTACACAATAGGCAATTACAGCTGGCAAGGGTCATGGATTAAATTCCCAAGGATACGTTATGTTGGGTCATGGAGCATGGTTCATATATCTCTGTAGTTGGGCAAAGAGGTGGGCGAACGTGAAAGGTACGGTGACCGCTCAAGGCCATAATGTAATCACAATTATAACGTGGGCAAGTATACTACGGCTTTTTTCTCAGAATCGTATTTCCATTAAAGCCACACTACCAAGCTACGTACGGGCCTAGTACTATGTGGCTGCGGCTAGCGTATGATGAAAATGTGCGCCCACTTGAGACTAACAATTTCAAGTGCGAGTTACTAGTAAGCACACTTTTCAAAGGCAGTTTTGTACTTTCGCCATCATTTTCCAAAACAGGCAAGAACACGTACTTTTTTATCGTGTTGTGAAGTATATGGTTTCGATTGCACAGCTATTTCGGATGCTTTGTTTCTCTTCAACCAGCTGAAAGTATTTCAAATTTAAATAAAACTGAACGCCCTAATTTCGCCATTTGGCGGCTTTATAGCTATACGCCCCTTCGATGATGACTTGGAAGTTGAATGTCAATACATACAAAAATACTGAGAAATGTGCCAACTGCAGCCTAAAATCATCGTTAATTTGTTACAGTCTTGGATATACGTCATTTCAACTCAGTGAGCATATTTTTGTCTTTTTGTGTACGTTTTGGTGAATAAAGTCTTTTGTTTTATCTGTATGTATTTTCTATATTCCTATTCGTACCAATAGAAATTAAAGTTTTGTATTTTTATGATGTGGACAAAAATTTCTATTCTGATGTCAATACAATTACACTGGAATGGACTTAGATCTCAGTGTGCACAGAGTGCTGCTTTTACCGTTCAAAACGAGGATGTACGAAAATGTGTGGAAACGCTGCGTTCTATTTATATTCAGCTCAATAAATCGTTGCTCAATAAATCGTTCCTATCCTAAGAACGCTGAGTAGAACAGGGCACCCAACAAACTTTACTCCTGTCAATCTTGAGTGGCCTGGCACAGCTGAAATATATTCCCTAAACTGAAGGCATGAAATGGTACTGCTTCCTATTTCTCGAATGCTCGTTTTGTCTACACTGGGCCACTCCCCGCGCACAGTAGGGTCTATTTATTTGAGCGTAGTAAGTCTGAAAATTGCCCAAATCCGGAAATTGTGGTGTAATCAGGAAAAAATACGTATTACTTATTACTTCCATTTAGTTTGTTGCCACATAGCATTGACGTCTTAACTCAACCCATCCCGCTAGTCTATGCTATATTTTTCGTAAGACCACACTGAGCGCCGCCATCTTGCCCAAATCGCTGCTTCCAAACCGCGCCTCTGTCACGTCTGTTCATTGGCCAGCCCGTTGGTCGTTTGAGACTCTCTTTTGCCATTGGATGCAGGCGTGCGCCATCTTGCCCGGATGGGCATGATCGCCCTCCCGAATCGTGCCTGTGTCGCGTTCGTCGATTGGCCGCCAGGTGGCCGGATCGAACGGTCTTTGCCATTGGGCGTGCGTGCGATGGTCCCGATACCCGAGTATTCGCCTCAGAGATGCAGTTCCTTGCTTCCTCTTATGAAACAAGTCTATGTGTATACTGTATATTAGTTTTCTCGCAATCCGTGGCAGGAGCTTTTTTCACACGCGGAGAATGATTTTCGAAAGCTTACCATGGCTTCCATCCCAGGTGACATCATGACGCCTACAAGTGTGTAGGAGGCGGTGCAGGTTCGGGATGTGCCAAGTCAGTGACTTCAAAAGTGTGTGTGTGAGGGGGGTGAAACTCCCGCCCCACCCACACACACCGTCAAAATGCTGGGGGATATATATCCCCTGGGATCTCCACCCAAGCACGGTTGAGCACTCCTGCAATCCATGCTCTCTTCCTCGGCTGGGGGGAGATGAGCTACCAAACGCCCTCAAAGATCCAATTACAGTTACCATCAAACGGAAGGGAACCGATGCGATTGCACTAGCTCCCAAGGCATCAGCCGATTGTCTGTTGCCGAAAAGATCTATGGGAAGCTTATTCTGAAGCACCTCCAAGCTGCAGAGAACATTCAACCACAAAGCCAGTGTATATTTGGGGCTGGGTGTAGTGCCAATGAAAAGGATGGACAAAATTAAAGTAGCCTTGATTGACTTCTCCAAAGCATTTGATTCAGTAGTAGATCGATCCTTGTTGTGGCGAGTCCTAGAGAGGCACGGCTGTCCGGGAAAATTCATCCATGTGATGAGGAAGTTTCATGACGTCATGACCTGCCAAGTCTCGCTCTTCCCTGTCGGATACCTGCATACACAATTGATGAGGAAGCGACTTAATACTAGCCCGTGAAACCTGGTGCGCTACTTTTTTTTCAGTAGCTGGGTGACCAATGATTCATGAAGAGGGGACAATGCAATACACCATTTAAGACATTTCAGAAACAGAAATCCATTACGTCGATTCGACAGCTTCGTTGGTTGCGATTTGATCTACAGATCCGTAGTCCCTGGTTCGAATCCGACCCATTTGTGCTATTCATTTTCCAATTTTATCATTGGGTTTGGGATTTCCTTTTTCAATTGATGCAGAAACGGAGTCCAAGCATGAACCCTCTGAGAGTTTTGAGAAAAACAGCAGACCAGGTTTCACGGGTTAGTATCTAGTCACTTCCAATTGATGACGGTGTGGAGCAAGAATGGGTTCTGGTACGCACGCTTTTTACCAGTGCTCTTGTCTACGGTACTAACCTATCCGGGATTGAACCAGTGGGATCTGACTGTGGTCTGTGCATCTTAAGCTCTTAGTACATGTATTAACCCAACACTCCGAAATCCTCCGAACGGATTTCAACATATTTTATGTACACCCCAGGGGGTTAGAGCTATCAACAAAACCCGATCTTATCCCTTTGCAAGAACTGCCCTTTGCTTACGACGTTGCTCTCGTGGCTCAGTCTTGAAGACCAACTGTGGTGCCTTGTCGGGAGATTGGCTAGAGCCTCCGCTTTTGGTCTTGCTAGAAATCAAAACGGAGGTCATTCTTCTGACAGCCTCCTTATACAACCCATGCTCAAGTTCAACCCTCATCACAATCGACTGTAAAGGCAGTGTCAACCTTTACGTACAACCCAAACACTCCCTATCTTCGAATTTCAATACGATTTTACATACACCCTTGGGGGTTAGGGTTAATAACAGTGCCTGCGACGAAAACCAGAATGGAACGCTTACCACGCGGATATCAGCTGCAGCAGCCTCCTTTGACCGACCAAGTAAAAGGCTTTAATCGCTACAGGGAATTAAAATGCCTACCAAGTGTTAAGTGCGCAATGCAGTTGTTCTTTCATGCCTACTTTAATTTCCAAGAGTGATTAATTAAGTAACGTAAATTAACTGCCAGAGTTTGAAGTAAATTTACATATGTTCGTGTCAAAATGGCACATGGCACAAAAATATCACACTTTAGCACGTCATCTTTTTACAGAATGACCCACAAATAAATAATGCAATAAAGAAACCAAAAAACAAGAACTAAAAAACAAAGTAAACGCAAAGCATGGAAACATTTGACCATTCTGTATTTTTTTAACATCTCTAAAAGAATCTGTACATATTCCACATTGTTCTGACTACTTTTACATGTAGATGGTAATGTGAGGTTAATTAATAACACCGACTGGCCGCTGTATGAACTGCATTCACGTCACCCAAATAACTCGAGCTTCAAATCAAATCAGTGAAGAAATAACTTGCCGCGTTTACTAAGAACATTTTGGTAAGACACGGTAGCGGGGTTGAAATGTAATATTCTTTTAAGAATTACCTTTTTTTCTAAAAAGCAAAAATTTAATCAGACCAACCAAATTTGTCAATTAATTTAATCATCCACTTTGAGAACATGAAAATATCTTATGTACAAAATATTTTAGCATTCATAAAATTCCCACAGACGGTTTGTCTTTTTACTACAATGCTTAGAGGCAAAATCTAGAGTCCAGCAAAGACAAATGAACATCTGGTTCAAGTATCACTGACAATGTGACATCAGGCAGCAAACTGCTGAAACGCATTTCAAGACACTCATGCAAGCTTTGACAGCAAACTAGAACTATTCTGTAACTATAAAAACTCAGATGTATTGAGGATTGTCGGCAGGTTTCCCATAGAAGTTTGAAAATCAAATACCACGACTTTTCCGGGACTAAACATATGACGGCTTTCTTTACATTTAATACCATTTTGCAGAGAAACGATGTTTGGTGTAATTGCGAGCTGGAAGACTGCCACAGTCACCACTATAGACTGATAAGGATATTGCCTGTATTAGGGTATCATTATTCCAGTTATCAAATCAAAACCGACCCAGCATAAATAATCCTCGGATGGGCTTGATTTCCACGACATTTCCAAGACGAATTTCCTCTGACAACTGGATTCCCGGGCCCCCGATTCCCCCCCACCCATTTTTTGGCCCAGGTTTTTTTTTCATGATTGTTCCCATGAACCTGGGCATCCTGTGTTTGTGTAGCACCAGCTTTTGTGAATTTGGTCAAACTCCTGTCATCCCGAGAACCTGACGCAAGGAATCACAAAGATTACACTGAGAGACTGTCTCTTTTGAAACAATTTGCAAGTACGACGAGGTTTCCACCTGCACACTACGTGATGGACCTGCATGCCGGCTGGTTTTGCCCTACCTCACTCAGACCCCTCCTAAATCCACTGGGAGATGGGGGTTTGGAAGATTCTGTGACACCGGAATGTACAAGTTAGACTCACTGTCACTTCACAGATGGTTCTGAGCCCTCTTTTAAAATTTAACCTTAAAATAGAGCATGCTGCTGCTGCAATGTCTTCTGTATTGTACCGAACTTTCTGGACTTTAGTCTCATATTTTGGGGTCATTTGCAACACCAACTATATAAAAAACAGACACACCATTCTCTAAAAAATGCACTTTTTCCTTGACAGGTTAGTCATAAATGTTAAACTGATCCCACTGACAAGTGTTCAACACACGGGCCGATATGCATGAGTGTGGACTATAAAATGCCCAAAAAAACCTACGCAGAATCAAATTTTAACTCAAGGTTTTCACATGTACTTAAAATGGATGTCTTCACACGTCAAGATTACGTGGGACCGGTATCTCCAAGCAATCCACTGTGGGATCTTGGGGGAAACAAAAAGAGCCCAATTAAGGGTTAAAGTACACAGAAGAAGATGCTGGTTTCCAGTTTTATGATATATTTTCACTCTGTTGTTGGAGTAAAGTCCTAGAACCACTGGTTTCCACGGTCTTTTTCTTAAAATTTATAAAACTGCAGTGGAGGTGCGGACTGACTAGTGTCACCAATGCAACTTGCCTCTCGCATTCGAGTCGAGCAAATGGAGCCGGGGTCCTCATCTGACTTCCAAGGGAAGCCGGAAAATATGTGTATAAGGTGGTTACATGTTCTATAACTTACTTAATAAGCATGACCAATCTTGATAAGGTTGGAAATATCTGCACGAGGCAAGGGCCAGCAGTCTTTCAGCATTTCTACTCTGTGACCTCACAGGCACCTATTCTTATTAGTATCATTACTGACAGTCGGCTCCAGACATCAGGAGCACTCTTCAAAGAAAACGCTATTACACGAGGCAAATTCTGAAATCCCAAGTCTCTTTGAATATCAATGCCGTCTTTGTGTTTTTTTTCCCGGTCTTTATTACAAGACTCTGGTTATAACAAGGTCATTTTTGGCAAGCCCGCAACCTTGTTATGGTGAGAGTTGACTGTACAAGTACTTAATCCATTTATTGCAAATCAGCAACTCTACTATGTCGCCAGTGATATGGCGGGGCTCCTGGTGACCCAAGATTCCTCCCCCAACCCCAACCCCAACCCCAACCCCCGAAATTCATTAGTATTTCAAAGAATGAAAGATTCAGAACGGTACGCTACTGAATTCCGACTACGACATACTGCCAAAGTTGAAGCTCTTGGGGACGCTCGGTGCCTGAAACTTGTATCCGCCTTGCTTCTCGATTTGTCGGGAATCTGGGCCAAAAATAAATGAAACGCCGCATCACTTTAGGCACCAAAATTTTGTCCTCGACTAGATGCACATTGACAATATTTGGCTTTGCTCACTACAGACATGAGATAAAAACTCAAACTCTACAAAGCAGACTCAAAAGGCGACACTCACACTCACACCGAACTAAAGGACCTGAGTAACTTCAATGAATTCCACATGCTAAAGCTCTTAAAACTGACTGTCCGATTGACTACATGTACCATAATCTACACTGTAATAAAGCGGAGGGTGGCACTAATCTCCTACATAAAACGGCATCACACTGTGACCTGCCGGCACCACTCTACAGTCACATGAAGGACTCGGGAGGCTATGACTCAAAATGCTAACACTAATATTCAAGATCTTGACAACTCACCGGCTGCTGCTTTCCTCTGGTCGGCCATCTTGGCAATCTCCTCCATGTCATTCTGCTGCTCCAGGTTAAGGTGCGACGTCAGGGCACTGTACCATGACGGACTGTTGGCTTGGATATCTGAAAAGCAGGCAATGAAAGTGGCG